GACCGTCCTGCTGATTCCATGAAGCAACTTGCCAGTGTTACGAGCAGAAGGGGCACATTGCCAGGGTGTGCCACAGCGATTTCCCTATCGCCCCTAGGCAGCCAAAAAATACACAAAGCCATCAACAGAGGCTGAAACCAGGGGCCTGGCAGAAGTACCCACGGGAGTCTGAAGGTGACAATAGAGTCGCCTATCATACATCAGTAAGACAAGTCCGCTCTAAGCGGCCCAAAATCTGAAAGTCACTGTCCTCTTCAAGGACTCTCCATGCGAGATGGAGATCGACACCGGGTCATCACTGAGCATAATGCCATGGTTAGTCCTCAAGCAAGCGATTCCGAAGTTACAGAAGTGGCACCTCTGAAACCCTGACATCTGCCTGTATGATTACCAGGGAAACCGGGTCCCTATCATGGGCCAAGGCACCTTCTGGGTGAACTACAAACACTTCTGCGAAAACCTCCCCGTGACGGTGGTCAGCAGCAACCTTCAGAGCCTTCTAGGGCTTGATTGGTTCCAAGCTTTGGGGATGGAAGTGACCGGAATCCACTCCGTGACGGACGACGGCGCTGAAGCCATCTTTAAGGAGTTCGAGGACGTTTTTGACACAGGTCTGGGTAAGTACAAGGGAACCCCAATTTATTTTAGCTTGGACCCCATCATAGCCCCAATTAGGCTAAAACCCAGGAGAGTACCTTTCGCTCTCTGTCCTAAAATTGACAAAAAAATTGACAAGCTCGTGAGTCAGTCGATCATGCACGCTGGGAGACACCTATTGTGACACCTGTCAAATCTGACGGGTCTGTCCGCATCTGCACAGACTGTAAGTGCACAATAAATAAAGCGTTACAACAAAGGGCCTACCCTGTACCAATTGTACAGCACCTACTACATTCGCTTTGTCTAGGAAAAGTCTTTGCAAAATTGGACATGGTGCAGGCATACCAACAATTGCCAGTAGATGGTGCTACTGTGGAGGCCCAAACCATTGTGACGCACAGGGATTCATTCAAATGCCACCGCCTGCAATTCGGAGTTAGTATCACCCCGGGATTGTTCCAAAACGTCATGGAACAGCTTTTGCAGGGGATTCCAGAAATCGTCCCCTATTTCAACGACATCTTGGTATCGGCTGCAAATGAGGCGCAACTTTTAAAACACATATGAATAGTTTTGGCCAGAATTAGAGACAAGGGTCTCCGCCTCATAAAAGAAAAATGTCAGATTAATGTACCAAAGGTTGAATTCCTCGGGTACCTGATTGATGGGTCTGGAATCCATCCGACCTCACAAAAAATTAAAGCTATTCAGGATGCCCCCACACCTCGCAATCAGACCGAACTGCAGGCGTTCCTCGGGCTCCTTAATTTCTACAGCATCTTTCTCAAACAGAAAGCCACCATTGCTGAACCATTACATTGCCTCCTAGCCAAGAACGCGAAGTGGTCCTAGGGCAAAGCCAAGACCACCACGTTTGTCGCAGTAAAATGACTCCTGTCAGCGGATTCTTTCCTAGTCCAATACAACCAGACCCTGTTGTTGGTGTTAACCTGTGATGCTTCCCCTTTTGGTGTCGGCGCTGTCCTCAGCCACCGCATGCCTAACAGAACCGAACCCCCTATTGCATTTTACTCCAGAACCTTGTCCGCCACGGAGCAGAACTACAGACTGCGAGGCTTTAGCTGCAGTGACTGGAGTAAAACGGTTCCACAAATATCTCTACGGCCGGGATTTTGAACTGGTTATGGACCACAAACCATTGTTGGATTTACTGGCTGGGGATTGCCCCACCCCGGTATCATTATCCCCCCGCATGACCAGGTGGACTATTTTCCTGGCTGCCTACTCATACCATCTCATTCACCACCCCGGCTCCACTTTAGGACATGCAGATGCCTTGAGCCGCTCCCCATTGCCTGAAGTTCTCACTGACTTCATCCCTGAGATGCTGGTCCTTCTCATTGACTGCCTGGAAATCAGACCCGTCTCACCCAGTGACATTGCATGCGACTCTGCAAAGGACTCCACAATAAAGCAAATTTTAAACTGGGTGTGGAGGGGGTGGCCCAAGGGGCCTGTTGGGGCTGATTTCAAAATGTATTTTGCCAAACGAGATGTCGGTCATTAATGGGTGTTTACTGTGGGGCGATCGGGTAGTTATTCCCACCAAACTGCGCATTGCAGTATTAGAAGCATTACATGTAGGGCATCCTGGGATTGTCAGGATGAAGGCTCTGGCAAGGAGTTATGTTTGGTGGCCTAACATGGACAGGGAGATCCAAGAATGGGTGGCTACATGAACACCATGCCAGGAGTCCAGACTGGTTCCCCCAGAGGCGCCGGCTAAGGAGTGGGAGTGACCACAAGCACCATGGTCCAGGGTGCACATTGACTTTGCTGGCCCAGTACATGGCCAAACATTCTTCATAGTTCTGGACGCTTATTCAAAATCGTTGGAAGTACTCCTGATGACCTCCACTACGGCAGAAGCAGTCATCAAGGTGCCACAGAGACTTTTCTCCACACACGGCCTGCCCAATGTCTTGGTCTCTGACAATGGGCCCCAATTTACGGCCATGCCATTCGAGACCTTCCTAGCAGCTCAAGGAATCAGGCATGCCCTGGTCGCGCCATTCCATCTGGTCTCCAATGGTCAGGTGGAGAGAATGGTGAGATCTGCAAAAGAGGCCCTTGCTAGGATGGGCCCAGGTGATTGGCAAACACAGATTGACCACTATTTACTGATCCAACACATCACACCCAGTGCCACCACTGGGAGAAGCTCCTCCGAGCTTCTCATGGGGTGCTGTCTAAGATCACACTTAGACCGATTACATCCAAATTATTCTACCTCATCACCCCCAGACTCCACAAGCAAGATTCGATCTTTACCATAGGAGATTCGGTATACGCCCACAACTACATCAGGGGAACGCTGTGGATTTCTGCCACAGTAATAGACATTACCAGTTCTTGATCATATCTGGTAGAACTTGAGGACGGTAGAAATTGGAGAAGGCATATTGACCAACTCCATAGTCGCATTTCCAACTCCACGCTTAGACAACCAATGGTAACTCCTGCACGAGCTAGCCAAATCCCTATCCAAACAGAACAAAATAGCAGTCCTTCCATGTCCAACTCAAGCCCGAGAGTACCGGAAGACTTATCTGATTTTGATGTAGACCCACAACGAGCTCCAAGCGAGTTAACTCCAGAAGCTCCAGACACGGCCTGTGAAAAGTTCCAGGAGTTTCCACCAGGCAGAGTTGCGGAGCAAACAGGTCCATCTTACTTGTCCAAAGGAACCACTCCTACTGAACTGCGCAGGTGAGGCAGAGCTACACAAAAGCCCACCTACCTGCGTGACTACATCACCACTTGGATTGTTCTATCCTAGAGAGGAGGGGTGTTAGATATCCCCCCCCCCAGACACACTGACTGTGGTTTCCACCAGGGTCCTGTGTTCCGGCAGAAACAGCGGTTTAATCCCATTGGTCAAAGGGTCTGACAGATCCCTTTAAGAGGGGCTGCTGTCCGACCCTTCCTCAGTCAGATGTTTACCTTACTTGCAATAAAGAGCTGTTGTTACTGAAGCCTTTGTGTGCCTATCCATTACCCGATCTAACACTTCCCTCTTTAGGCTAACAGTCTCTGCTGTCCTGGAGAGATGCCATACTCTAGGTTTTCACCCCCTGCTGTGCAATTTGGGCTTTTGTTGTTTCAGGCACATTATAGCCTTTCCTGAAGCCCCAACAAAAGATATGTCATCTGTTAAGAACAGCTCTATTGGCTCCTGTAACTGTTAACATCTTAAGTTTAGATTCCCAAATTTGGACTTCTACAGAGGTGGGTTGGGGGAGCAACAGCTCCCTGCCCCTGGCCTCTTCACCCTTCTTTTTCTGCTTGCATGGCTATAGCCACCAGACATCCACTCTACCAATATCCTTCTTTTCTGCATATAGCACACTGGTAGGGTCCCAAGGGGACCTTTCCTCTTCCATGCCCATACTACTTTCAGATTCCCTAAACTCCCACTCCTCGCCACCTCTTCTGCTTTGTTTCCCTTCCTCCCATCTTTTCCTGCCTAAGGGCATCTGCTAGGAAGATAGCTTTTTAGCGAGCCTTCTGAATTTCTTTCTCATTTCTTCTTACCCTCCAGTAAGCTATCTCAACCAAGTCTGAAATGTCTTTCCACAGACCTCCTTCTACTTTCTGTAACTTTCTTCTAATAGCCTCTGCTGACTTCCCTATAAAAATCATGTTTATCATTTTCTGATTATCTGAGGCTTCATGATCTAAATTAGTATATTGCCTAAAATCCTGGTATATTATTTCAAGAAAAGTCCTCAGAACTCTCATTTTTCTTTTGCCTTATTTCATATACTTTTACAAGAGTCTTAATTTAGGGAATTCAATTTTTGGATTCCATATAAGATTGAGAATTCTGTAGACTCATATTGTCCCCTTCATCATCCAGATCCCATTCTGGCTCCGTGAGCAGGGCATTCCCAGCGGCTGTCATTCTCATGCGTCCTTTTTTTTAAACTGCCGCTCTACTGCCCCCCCCCCCCAATCTCTGTTTCTCTGGTGTTAAAAGGACATCCATCAATGTCTGAATGTCTGCCCAAGTGGGGCTATGTGTCATAATACATAAGAAGAGAGTGCATTTTCTCTGGGTCTTCCCTATAACTGGAATTTTGTTGCTTCCAGTTATAAAGGTCAGAAGTAGAAAATGGTGTGTAAACTAGCACTTGACAGAATCTATTTCCTTCTCCTACCACTATATTTTCTCGGAGTGAGCCTGCATCTCTGGTTTTAGTTTTGAAAGAGATTGGATTTCACAAGAGTCACTCACTGTTTGATTATATTGTTCCTCAGCCTCCCCGCTTTACTGGGATCACTTTGTCTGGAGTGTCCCATTCCATTAGTAAGAAGGGGGTGGCAGACCAGTCTCAGAGTTCTCCAGTTTAACTGGAGGAGCACTGGGTTTCCTTATAAGAAAGGGAATCAAAATAATTAACCCCTTTCACAGTCTGGGGATAGGGAGTCAACACACACAAATTTACACATCAGCATACTTACAGATTTATCCTCCATTCAAACTGCTTGCATAAAAAATCCACAGACAAATATTTCCTTTCATATGTTCTCCAGGCAAACCAATTATTATTATCATTATTTTAGGGAGCTTTCACAAA